GTGTTTGGGTGGCCTGCAAGCCCTCCAGCCATTAACCTACCTACCTACTATAGGAAATCTCTTTGTCAACTCAGCTTCTGCCCGCAGTCAGCTTTGTTCATTTACTCCTGGAATTTGCAGGTAGAGTCTTCAACAGCCAGATCATTAGATAGCTTCTAAAGGGGTAGGTGTTGCTATCTGATATAAAGGAACCATTGTACAAAGCACATTCAGTTATAATTATCACGCAGACAAACTGGAGAAAATTAGTTCTTTTCCTAGAGATTTTTGAATAAACTTCTTTGGAGATTCACCTGACAGTAAGTATCTACTATGACCATGTAGCCATGTGGAGGCTGATGAGTGCTTTTCTATTTAGATATCTGAGTAAAACTCTAGAGAGACAGTTGGGTATAATAAACAGAACATTGGCCCTAAATGGAACCTGATAAGCCATGAGTTTAAATCCTAGCCTTGTCACTCAGTAACTCTAAGACATTGAGCAAGTTACTTGTAAACTCCTTGGATCTCAGTTTCTACATCTGTAAAGTGGAGATAATAGCTCTCTAGATAAGTACCAAGAGAGATGATATAAGTGGGTCACCTGGCACCCATTGGGCTCGCAACAAAGATTGGTTTCCTTTCCTTCTTTCTTTCTTCCAAGTGTCCTCACCTGCAGAAAATATTTTTTTTTTACCAGTGTTTTTCAAAAGGCTAAAAATTCACCCAAACTTCATGGGCATAAAAGGACTCCACCAAATAACCCTTTAACAAGCAGTTCCATAAAAGCATCTGGAAGAGATATATTATTTCTTTTAAAGAGCATAGGGTTTAGCAACAGAAAAGTTACAGAGAACAATGTTTTTCAAGCAGTGGTTTTAAAGTGGCTGGGAGGTCAAGTCACAAATAATCTAAGGTCCTTTCCAGCTCTAAAATTCTGTGATTTCATGAAATTGCAACAGTAGCTACAAACCAAGCCTTCCCTTTATGACTCAGAAAGGATTGAAGGCTCTGGGCTGGCTACTTGGCATACCAAAGATTTGATTAAAAACCCACCATCTTCAAATATTAGCTTTGGGATTAGCAAATCAAATAAATGCATGTGATAGATTAGTCAGATGTGGCTAAGTTGTTTTTGTCTGCCAGTACATTCTGAGACAGTAACCAATAGCTAAGCAAACTAGCAAAGAGTCCATGAAGTTGAGAACAGGGAAAGGGGGTATTCCCAGCCCAATCTCTTTATATCTTGATTATTGATTGCCACAGTCTATGTGTGGGAATTGAGCTATATGTAAAATAAGAGATCTTTGGGAAAAATTTATAAAGATGTCTAGTCCTGAAACTAAGAACTCTCAAGAAAATCCAAACAAGGATGGTGGGGTAAAAATGATTTTAATTTCTTTTAAAAAGAGAATTAATTTCCATTTAGATGAATTTTTAAAGAAATGAGTTCTAGAAAACTTGGTTTTGCAACACTAAGCATTGTTTGAAACAGTTTGTTTTCAGTGGTTATTTCAAGATGAGAAATGGAATGTAAACACTCAGGATATGACAATATCTCTTGCAAGGAGTGAGTGCGTATGTGAGTGTGTGTTGGGAGGATGTCTTCCTTTGAGAGGATAATTTTTTTCCTCTTGCCTTGGGAGTTTATTGCTAGAAAATACTGCAAGTTTTAAATATCATTTCATTCTATGAAAACATGGATTCAAAAGTCACCTTTTTCACACTGGGAGTTAGGGAGAATTTAAGTAATTAAGTAACAAGAACACAGATTCCTGAAGATACTTCAAAATCAAGATATTCCTGCCTAGGGAAGTAACAGCCTGTAGCAAGAGACAGCTGCCAAGACAAGCATGTTTTAAGCACCTACTATATGCCGGGTTCTGCTTTGACACTTGTGAAGGAACTGAAACCCTGGAGCTCTGTCAGTGCCCCCAGATGGTGTTCTAATTTACAGAAAAACAAAATACTGTTAGGGTGAAATGGAGTCTTCTGCACAAACCTGAGCAGATGAGAGACCTAATTTAGGTGAAGCAACATTACATAGTATTCAAAACTACTGCAAAAGGAATTTGCTTTTCTAAATCATAGTGACTTTTTAGACTTTGGACTATTCACCTTCAATAAATTTCTACTGAGTGCCTACCACGTTAAAAGAACTGGGAGGGTATAACAAAATGATAAAAAATGTTTCTGCCTTTTATTATAGTCTAGACGGGCAGAATATTTATTGTCGCTTTAATTGAATGCTATGTATAATTATTAATGGTATAATTTTTCCAGCTAAATTTTCATAAGTATGTATGTAAGAAAGTTACTTGATGGTTTTAACTTTACAAAAGTAAACAGAGCCACCCAAACTTAAAAGATGTCAATCAATAAACGAACTGGGAATAGAAAAGAAAAAAGCAAAACTGGGAGAGAGTAGACTGGAAAGTTCATAGTGATGTTTTTATCATGGTGGAAACATGAGTGATTTTGGTTTTCACTTTTATTTATTTTTTTAGAATAAGCCTACATTTCTTGTATACTTTATTTTGTGTTTTTAAAAAAAGTTTATTTATTTTTGGCTTCACTGGGTCTTCATTGCTGCATGGGCTTTCTCTTGTTGTGGCGAGCAGGGCTTGCTCTTAGTCGCATTGTGCAGCCTTCTTATCGTGGCGACTTCTCCTGCAGTGGAGCAAGGCTCTAGGTGCTGGGGCTTCAGTAGCTGTAGCGCTCAGGCTCAATAGTTGCAGCTCCCAGGCTTAGTTGCTCCATGGCATATGGAATCTTCCCAGACCAGGAATTGAACCCATGTCCCCTGAATTGGCAAGCAGATTCTTATCCAGCTGTATCACCAGGGAAGCCCCTCTTGTATACTTTAAAATATAAAAATTCCTTAGAAGAAGGATATGAAGGAGGAAATAAAGTTAAGGAAGATGAGAAGGAAGAAAGAAAGGGAAAGGAAATAAATCATACTTGAGAAAGAATATTTTTCTTTCTGCTACTCACACTTCTGAGAACGCTAGCTATGTAGGCCATAAACCCACAGCTGCTCATTTTTTCATGTGAAAGTTGTCAGGTTTTTCCCAGATGTGGCAGAGATTATGGAGCCATGGGTGATTAACATCTGGAGGGGATGGACAGATAGACATCTAACTTGAGTACTACAGAAAGAGTTAGAATCATAGAATGGTTAAAGGAAATGGGAGGCTGAGCTTACAGCTGTTGGCCCAAATAAATAAGAAGCAAGTGAAAGTCCAAGTGAAAGAGACTGGGTCCAGGGAGTGACAAGCAGATGAGGATGGGGTCTAGGACAGAGGCCGAGGGAGGAGCACTGCTGGGGAAAAGGCTGGCCGCGTGCCATGGATGTGAGAGTGATCACCAAGTTGAAGGCAGGCTTGGGGTCTGAATCACCTGCTCGAATGATACCGAGAGTTTTTTGTGGTGCCATCACAGACTCTTTGCCAAGTTAGAACTCCTAAGGGAAGCCTCAAAGGACTTTTATTAGGGGACCACTTCAGAACAACCTGCCTACTGGTAAAGGGTGAGATCTGCCCCGGAGTTTCTCCTATGCAGAGGCCACCTCTGTCTCACTTATGTCATCTCTGCTGGCAGTACGTGGTCCTCAGAGGCATTACTTATCAAGAGATGCAGGATACCTTTCCAGAATTGCTGCATGAGTTGTAGTTCAATCTTTTTCTCCCAAACCCAGGTTTCTGTAGAGCACCATCAGACTGAAATTCAGTTAGCTTCCATGCTATAAATGTGCTAAGTGGTATGGTGCTGAAACGGATGGGTTGGAGATACATTTTAAAAATGAGTATTCCGCAGAAACATCTAGATTTCTGATGTTGGTTGATAAATTGGAAAATCTGTTAACATCAGGCCCTGACTCCTGCAAAGTTACAATGGGATAGAGCTGAAAAAATGGCATTCATCCATCTCCTTGTTTCTGTGTGACTGGACTGTTTTCCAAAAGGATTGTTTTGCTTACTGATAAACAGAGACACTTAGGAGCAAACAACCTTCTTCCTCCTCTGGGCATGAGGTTTCTATGACTCCTAAAACTCTGACATTATCTGGGTCCATGAAGGCAATAAATTGAGCACAAGATATTCGGCTGAGGGTGGATGGGTAGAAAGGTGAAAAGAACTTGGGTTCCTCATGGCATCATTGAGCCATTCAATTAACCTGTCCGAGAGCCATCATATTGTCAGATTTCTTGTTATGATGATGTATTTTGTTGATTCTATGTTGCACTTTCTTTTTATAGTTCAACACCTCTGAAATCAGAATGTATTTTGCCATGGTAGGCCAGAGGTGGTCCTGACATGGTTGTCGTTGCTGTGCATGTGTCAAATTGATCATTATTCCCCAGGCCATGACTGACAGCTGCAGCTCCTTGACAGTTGAGTCAACAAACCACTGAAGGACGTTCATGTTAGGGATCTTGTTTTTTGTCTGAACACCTTCCATTGGTACCTTCTGGAGAGATAAAGTAAACATCACTATCAAAACTTGCATAATGAATGTCGGTGTTTGGAAGAAAATTCAAGAGACAGTAGTGGAACAATTTTTCAAAAATGCTACATCAGCAACACTTTGCATATCACAGAGGATAATATTGGGTAGAAAAAATATGGATATTGATGGCTCTGAATTTAAAAATGATTCAGAAGTTTCAAAATCTGAAAATGAAAATGTCTTAAGAATATGAACTATGTATGTTTGATTTATGGCTACATATACTTCTAATGTATATATGTGTTATATGATAAAATATATTTATACATTTTACAGTTCTCTTACAATAGGTATAAAATTTAAAAAATTAAGTCATTAGGATTGTGTCAACCCTAATTGGCAGTGGTTTTTTTTCCTTCTCTCTTTTTTAGTAGTTCATAAAATAATGGCATGTGTTCCAATTGGCTTCTTACATTTGACAGAATCACTGAATTCTTTGTTGTTAAAGTTGTGGCCTTCTCTCTCTTGCAGTCAAACTTCCACAATGATGTAGCATATATTTTATGAATATTTTACATGTAGTAGCTTTCATTTTGGGTTTTCCATGTGGCACTAGTCGTAAAGAATCTACCTGCCAATGCAGGAGGCATGCATTTAATCCCTGGATTGGGAAGATCCCCTGGTGTAGGAAATGGCAACTCACTCCAATATTCTTGCCTGGAAGACTCCATGGACAGAGGAGCCTCGTGGGCTACAGTCCACAGGGCCACAGAGTCAGACACGACTGAGCACACACTCACGCAGCTTTCATTTTCGCTCCCTAAAGGAAAAGGAGTAGAATAGGTTAATGTCCCTGAAGTGTGGGAATCTGAGTTCTCCATCTGGTCTCTTCATAAACAATAGATACAAGTAGTGACAGGACTACTCTCTTGTTAGTGTAAGCATATGATGAGTAGGGTGAGCAAGGGGAGACTTGTCTCTCTGTGAGCTCAGAAGATATCTCTACATCCTCCCTTTTGCAAAGACTTCTCACTGTTCAACAACCAGTAGTTGTGCTCCTGTGTTAACAAGGAGTATCTTCTGGAAACGAAAATGTGCCAGCATCCTTGCCAATAGATTTCTTAATTAGCTTGCTGATACTCTTAGCAACTGATTTAGCTATTGTGCTAGAAATGAATTATTTGAGTTCTTTTTTCCCACAGCACCCCTTTTATGCTCTCTGACTGTTATAGGATCATGGTGCTCTTGGATTAACCCATCATAATTTCCTAAAGTAAGCAAACATTTGAGAAAATGTCCACGGCACATTACTGCATTGCTTAAACTTGCTGCTAATTCTGTTATTCCTTGATACCTAGCTCTGTCTTAACAATAGTGTTAATTATACCACATATTTATTCTACAGCTATGCATTTTCTTTTGGCGTATTTCCTCCTCACCGACAAGATTAGTTGCCTCCCTTCAAAGAAGCTTCACCATGGGCATTATTGTTGGGAGAAGAAATATTTCCTACTTTACAACCTGTGCATGCCCTAGACATTCACGTCTGAGAAGCATTCACTGCAACATGGGTCTTTTAGAGTAACTAAGCAGGGACCGGGCGTTCCATCCTTGTGATAAAGTACATGTTTCCTGTTAAACGCAAGTTCTTCATTTGAAAAGGTTGAATAGAATGCTATTTTAAAGAATTCCAGTTAAATTTAGTGTCAAAAAAATTCAGTCCAAGAATAGTTCCTGGCTTTAAGCCTACATCGTTTTTTTTGTTGTGAATTGGATGTGTCTTCATTCACTGTAAGCATTTCCTGCAGTGTTTGTCCTTCTGTGAACACATATTGATGGTTTTGTTAGCTTTAATAGTATTTGTCACTTCCCTGGTGGCTCAGATGGTAAAGTGTCTGCCTACAATGTGGGAGACCTGGGTTCGATCCCTGGGTCGGGAAGATCCTCTGGAGAAGGAAATGGCAACCCACTCCACTACTCTTGCCTGGAAAATCGCATGGACAGAGGAGCTCATGGGGTTGCAAAGAGTTTCATTTCATTTCCTTCTAAAATGACTTATCTAAATTTTATTATTGCCAAACAAGCAAGACCTTGTTTTTATTTTAAGTTTCTGTCAATTGTTTAGCCAACTTCTATCATAAAGCTGGGCTGCTCTATTCCCTGCTGTTACCTTCATCCCTGTCTAGAAGCCATATCTGCTCTTCTTCTCAGTACTTCAAAGGAGATAGCCTTAAAAGACAACCCTCTGTATTTTTGCTGACAATTCTTTTGATTTTAAGGACTGGAAAGTCTACCAACGTCCTGTCAGTCTCTCTGACCTGCCCTATGTCTCCTTTGGCTTCTCCTGTTCAGCTCTTCCTTTGTTCTTTATGACTGCTGGAGGAAAACTTCTGTTTCTTTAATGCATATTTGGTGCTCCTGGGTCCTGCCCTAAATGTCTTACAGATCCCTCTTAATCCTTCCAACTGCCTTAAAGGTAACTATTATCATCCCAAAGTAATTAGACAACTAGCCTCAGGTTACTCAGCCAGTTAATGACAAAGCTGAAGTTTACAACCTCATTTGCCTAACTGAAAACCTCTGTCTCTAGTTATGAAAGTAATATTCAGAACCTCCTAAAGAATATGTTAATTTTGGGGGGATGTGGAATTTCTAGTCTACTTCACTTTCCTTATATTCCTGACATAGAAACATAAGAATGACCATGTCCCTGAGCTTCATTCTCCACATATTTGATGTGTGATATTTTCTTATATTTTACTTCAAATTTTACTACATCTGAATTTTGGCACCAGTTTTTTGTGTTAATTTCTAAATTAACTTTTCTCCAGAATTTGTTATCAGTACATTTCTTGTCATAATTCTGACAAAGTATCAGGATTTCATGATAGGCCCTGTTTTATAGTCCTGATTGAAATTCTTGGCTCTCTATCAGATTTTCCTGGTGCAAGCTGAAACACAACAACAGGCATCTGAAGGTGTTGTGTGGGGTAATAGGCCATCTTTCAGGCTTCTTTGGACTGAAACTATATACCAAAAATAAACCCAACTTAATACAGTACGTGATATGGAAATGCTAACATCAGTGTTTGTACAGGAATCAATACATCTGGTCAGTTGACGGGGTTGCTGAGAAAAGCCTTGAAAATAACAAGAGCAAGGTAAATACGTCAGATTTGTCAAATTCTGCAGCATTGTCTTCATTGGACAGGCAGGGCATCTGCCGATTGTTCCTGTGATTCCTCCAACTCAGCTAAGTGTTCAGAGTCTTTGGGATTCTACTCCAAAAGAGAAAAATTATGGGATAATTTAATTCTGGGATCAGTTAGCTTCAGGATAGGAACAGATCTTCCTATTGAATATTGTGAACTCAGAGTTACACTAAAGAAGAACTCAGTCACCCCTAGGGAACAAATCAACTAACATATTTGGAAGAGAAAGGAGGACAATTTTTATGTGACTTTTAGCAAATTTGCTCATTATCTCTTTAATATTTTCTGGGCTGTTGACAGTGATGAGTATATCAAATTAATTCTTGGATGGTTTGCTAGACTGACTGAGTTTGGATCTCTAGGAGCTGTAAGCAAAAGCTCATCTAATCCAGTTGGATCAATTCCTTCTCTCCCATCCTCTGTGTATCCCCTGACTGTTATCCCCAACTGCCGTAATTAAACATTCCTGTTTCTTGGCACTGTGTGGACCAGAGAGTGTCTCAGTGTGAAGTCTGCCCATGGGATATTGTGGAAGTCTGAAAGTGTATGGAAAATTACATGTTTGTGAACAGCTGATCATCTTTCTGGAGAGAAAGAAAGAGAGATCATAGTTTTTATCAGATTCTGAAAAATCCTATGACACTGATGGTAACAAACATTGGTTTCAAAAAATTACATATTTAATGAATATTTCTCTTTTTCCTCCTGTTGTGTGGAAGGCTATCCATTGATAATATTAATGAGTTCAGACTCTTAAGTGCTTAGGATACATCGGTGAACAAACTAGATTGCTGTCTCTCTAACAACCCCTGTCCCGTCACAAGTTTAAGTTCAAACAAGAAAGTAAGATCATTAGAAACCATCAAAATAGATGGGCCAAGAGCTTGCTAATAGTGGTGGAGAATGAACACTGCCACTAGATGGATACTTACTGTCAAATTTATGGGTTTTAAAAAATTTGTATATATTGATTTTGGAAAAACTTTTAATTGGCGTTTCTTGCCCTTGGAGACAGTTGGCGAATCCCATGGCAGTTCTTTGTCATTCTACTTGCTGAGTTTGTACTGATGTCCAAGTAGTCTCCAGCTTGCACATCACTCTGTCAAGCACCCGGCTGCTGCATGCAACACGAGAGCTCATGCCATCCATCCACACTGACAAGAGAGGAAACGAGAGGCATGGACCTTGACAAGTTCTGTCGCATCCAAAAATGAAATTGATTCAGGCCACTAAAAAACTCCAAGCTCTTTCATTAATAGGCCCTGGGAAGCCACAATAAATCAGCCTATTAGGGTGCAACAAGGGTGCATATTGGTGTCTCAGTTAATGTGGATAAAGATTTCAGGACACACTGCATATATCAAAAATTTTACACACGCTGTTTGCAGAGTTTTAATGAATACAAAAAGCTCGATTGCTGAAAGCCAACACAACCCAGGCCTTACTTCATTTAGCTGTCAATAAAATTGTCTCATTTTATTTTCTAATGGTTTATCAATACTGGTAATTTGCCACTGGTTATAAAAGGGAGGATGGGGGAAGGGAAGGAAAGGAATTTAAATAAGCCCAGCTAACTAGAAAAGAGCTTGGTGGACTATTTTTTTGCCTAAGTTAATGACCAGATGATGTGAGGAAGTGAAACCTCCATTTCTTCTTAGACTACAAATATCAACTTTACTTGGGAGAAATACATTAGGTCAGCAGTGCACTTTGCTCTGTAAATCTGTTACTGCTTTTTGATAAAGGGTGTTAAGGCATTGTAATCTAGCCTTTCTTAAAGAAGTTCAGATTAAGGGAAAAATGGCTTTGCTTTATTTATTTTTTTCTCCAAGTGGAATATAGCTGCAATGTGAAGTTTTCCAGCAGAAGCCAAATGCAAGTTCTCACCTGCCATAACTGCTTTCTATAAAATACAGAATAAACCTAAAGCCCGTTTCTGAAGCAAGGGAGAAAACACCATCCTTGTACCCGAAATGAACAAGTCTTGCCTGTTTTTCCAGTGTAGTAAGGGAATGGCTTCTAATCATTGTTCTTCCTATATAATTACATAGTGTGTAAAGAGAAGGGCACTGTTTATATTTCCCTGGATGCTATTTATGTAATTTTTTGAAAAACAGGTTCATGATGATGATGTAACCATGAGAGCTCATTCATTGATTCATTCATTCAATAAACATTTGTGGCAGGCTAATGGATTAAGTTAATATAGAAATTAACCTGTGCCTTACTTTATTATTTTTATTATTATTTTCTTGCTCTAGCAGACTTGTTAGAAAGTGGATGAAGAAGTATTTGTATCCTTCACCCACAGAGGAAAGGCAACCAGATTCCCGTGTTCTCAAGTTTAGACTTCTTTGCCAGGATAGTCTTTTCTTCTCCTGTCCATTCCCCTCCTCCCCTCTCTCCTCCTCCTTCTTTCTTTTCTCTTTCCTTTTTCCTCTGAGGCTAGCAAGGATACAGAAATTTGATGAGTTCTTTACTTAATCCCTTTGGAGATATTTCTTGGCACTTAAAGGAATGCGTCTGAAATACTCTACCTTTGGCATAGGCCTATCCTCTGCTCATGTCTTTCCCTTCCAGAGGTGATAGTACCTCAGAAGGAGGGTGGCCACCTTGGTAATTTAGGTGGTTACCCTCATATGCTGCCTACTTGAAAGCAAGGGGAAAGAGATCCCTGAGGGCCAGACAAAGGCGAGTAGAGAGGATGACAGTCCCCTCACCCTCCTAGAGAAGCAGAAAAAGCAGTGTCAATTGACAATTGAGGAATCAGAGCAGAACAAGGTTTGTTTTAGAACTGTTAAGAATTGTCACACTCCTTAGAACCTGTGTTGTGCAGCAATTTCTATTTATGACCCACTTATTGAGCATCTTTTTTGAGCTAGGCCTTATGCTAGGCAGATGGAAAGATCCACTACCTTCCCTCAAGGGAATCTGAGTCTAGTGGGGAAGGCAGACAAATGAGCAGAGAACTGAAGCACCACAGGAAGGATTCTCTTCTTGTGGTGTGAGCCAAAGGCAATGCAGAGGAGGGGCGGCTGAGTCTGCTTGCTCCTTGAAGAAGGGTGATAGGGGAGGAGAGGAAGGGCAATTCAGAATATGGATCAGCATTTGCAAAGTTATAGCCTGTGGAAGGTGGCCCTGTGTCAGGGACCAGCAAGAAGTTCCGTGTATGTGAGGGGGCTGCTATATCGTACCTGGTGTGAAGTGATAAGAGCAGAGGCCCCTCCACAGTCTTGGGTAATGAGTGACATCAATTTAAAGAGCATTTCAGAGGAGTTTTTGCCCAAGGAAACAGGAATGCTTGAAATCATTCAGCTTACATATGAAAGACATTTGATAGAGGATTTCCCCAAATTTGACAAAAGTACTAAAAATGAAAATGACATTGCTAATAGTAAGTTGTGAGGGTGAAATAAATTTTCTAAATAATAATTAACCATAAATTAAAATTAACAAGTAAATTTTGATCAACTATGTTATAGGGAAAACCCAATTATCTTCCCAGTCTCTATATAAAAGGCTATTACAGAATTTTGTCATAAGAAGAGACAGTCAAAGATTACACAGCCAAAAACATTGAATACAAGTGTTTATAGAGATTTCCCAAACAGATAATGAAAACAAATCTTGCATTGCTTTTTCCTGTTTGTATATGTGTGTGTGTGGTATCTCGGGTATTAATTGTCTTTAAAAATTGGTATTTTTGTGCTTTTGCTCTTCATTTAAAATATTCATGCTGCCCTACTTTGTGTTATAGTTTTGTATTATCATTATTATAAACAAGTTCCCCCACCCCTGCAAACTGTGTAAACTTTAGGTCTCCCCTACCCAAACTGAACTTTAGGTTAGAACAGAGATGGGAAGGGTAGGCTGGGACCAGTTTGGAATCTGTGCTTCAAGAAATGGTGGAGAACCTTCATGTTCACCTGAGGCTTCACATCTATTCATCTTGTTGAAGAGGAAACTTGGCCCAGAGACATCAAGTGACTTCTGAAGTTCTGAGTCTGTTGGTAGCAAAGCCAAGAGTAGGACCCCAATTCTTACTTCTCTAGCATGTCTTCCTTTTCCTCTCTTCTTCTCCCCTTTCTCTCCCCCTTCAGCTCCCCTTCCCTCCTCCTTATCATCATCATCATCAAAAGGTAAAGACAAGCTGATTTATTTGTTTTGGCCAGCACAGTGTTTAAAAAATAACTCAATATCAAAACTTTTAGGTGGGGCATGCTTTCTTCTATTCATATAGTTCCTTTCACTCCCATCTCCTTCACTCCGGTGACAGATGTGTTTGTCCTGTGTAGCTTGAAAAGGCATCTGGGCAACGGCAACAGTACTTGGGGAGCAGAGAGGCTTTAAGGCTCAAGCTCAAGACTGTCTTTCTGCACAGCTCTGCTAGGAGATGTGTGTTCCCACATGAATGTGCCATAGTAATATCCATCAGTGACTCTGGTCTTTGTGTTTTGCTAAGTTGCTTCAGTTGTGTCCGACTCTTTGTGATCCTATGGACTATTAGTCTGCCAGGCTCCACAGTCCATGGGATTCTTCAGGCAAGAATACTGGAGTGGGCTGCCATCCCCTTCTTCAGGGGATCTTCCTGACTCAGGGATCAAATCCCTATCTCTTATGTCTACCTGCATTGGCAGGTGGGTTCTGGGTAGGAAAGGAACAAAAGTCACATTTTACCTGCTGATCATCCTCAGATTGTGGTGGAAGACAGCCATGCTGGGTGTGTGTGAATGTACAGTCTTGGGCAGGGGAAACTGAAACAAGAGGAATGAAGACTCTTTGAGGGACAATGCTGCCTGTTGTTAGGATGGCAGGCCCAGTTAAAGAATACCTTGGCGAGGGACCACTGTATTTAGTTTCAGCCCTTGGCCACACCCCACCTGACCTTTTAATTTCCAAAGAAAATGCAATAATTGCAGATGTTCTCAAGATAGCAAATGGCCCAAGAGCTGGTATGTTTTAAATTATGAAGGCAGCTAAAGATTCAATAACAAAAGAGATGAGTCCAAACCATTAAATTGCTGTAAAATTTCTGGCTGATATACATAGAAAACAGTCTTATTAGTTATTAGCCAATCGACACCAAGGCATAAAACTTTTAAAAAGGGGAATGGATTTGGCCCCATTCAGTTCTCTTGCGATATCAGACTCCAGACCCTTCTGTAAGGGCACCTGAAACTATTTTGTTTAGGGACATATCTAAGATATTATGACCTCTGTATTGTTCTTAAGGAAGTCTGTGTTTACCTAAGACTTCAACTACATGCCATGTTGAATTTTAGTACCTCAAATCCACATAACAACCTTACACTCTTTTTATTCTGTAAGTGAAGAATCCAAGGCCCAGAGAAGTTATTACAATCCGAGGCTACACACTTTCCCAGTAACAGCAGAGTTAGGACTATAACTTAGTTCTTGTTCCAAAGCCATCATATACTTCTGCCTGAGCACAACTGCCATAAATGAAAGTCAAAGCCAATGAGTACTAGCAACTAGTACTTTTCTGAGCGTCTATGTTGCACCTGGGTAGAGGTCCATGGGACTCAGGTCATCACCCTGCAGGCTAGTTCATTATATTTAGTTCTATGCTCTGTGAAGCTTGCATAGATGGGCTGGGGATTACCGTAATGTTCAATGACTACCTGCTCCTGAACATTATGGATATCTCCTTACTCCTATGAACATCTGGACCATCAGGGAATAGGGTCACTGAGCCACCTTGTGAGCATATCTGAGGGCTATATCCCCCCCCTCCCCCAACTTCATTATCTAAAGATTTGGGAGACCTCATCCTCCTTTGCCACCACCATTCTTGTATCCCTACCCAGAAGAGGCTTTGCCCACATACCTTCTCTTTTCTTTGTCAGCCTCTCAGAATAGGAGTTGCCTATAGTGGAAAGGAAATGGCAACCCACTTTAGTGTTCTTGCCTGGAGAATCCCAGGGATGGGGGAGGCTGGTGGACAGCCATCTATGGGGTCACACAGAGTCAGACACGACTGAAGCGACTTAGCATAGTGAACAGACTAG